ATGTATTGGGTTCTGATTTTGCCCTCAGTTTTTAAGCCTTTAGGATCCACTCCTGTCCTGTTTCCAAGCCTTTCTACATGAGTGAGAGCACTTAAAGCATTCTTTTTATAAAATAAAAGCTGAGATCCTTATGTGGTCCTGCGATTCCAGGATCTGTGACTTTAAAAAAAAAAGTACTGAATATTGTGAGGCTCAGAATAAAATAGCAAATTAGGGATGCTGCAATTCATCCTGTATCCTCACCTGAGATCTACTGTAGGCAGCTGTCTGGGATCCTTTGACTTCTGCTGTGAACAACATGGAAAGTTTTGTGTGTGGACAGAGGATGGTTTAAAAGGAATTGTTGATCTCTGTCTCAAACTAAAACTTGAGTCTAGGCAACCCCTGGCACAAGTGCCAGTGTGGCATGCAAGGCATTTTGCTTGGCATGCCTTTTTCTTTAAAAAAAATAAATAAATAAAATATATATATATATATATTTTTTTTTTTCCATGTTCCAAGCCAAATCAAGTCCAAACCCTTGAGTCAATCCAGAACCATAAGTGGCCCTATAACTGGCAAGCATCTTGCACCCCCACCAGGGGCTTCAGATATTTCCACCAACTTTTGGCAGGCATCCTATGTGCAGGCCCAAGCCTGGAGGGCTTGGGGTTCGGATACCCCCAAGTTTTGCCTGCCCTCAGTCAGTCAGTGGGTAGAGTGGCAGCTCTGTTATGCCCTCCTTCTTCCTGGCTTTGCTGATTTTTCTTTTGTTTCTGAAATGGAAGTTGAACTGAGCTGTATCCCTTGGGACTTGTGGGCAGGAGTTAGACTCTTAAGTGTGTTGGTGTGGTGGAGGCTGAACTGAAAATTGTATTTTAGATAGAGCCTTGTAGCTGTGACACTGAGCCCAGTGCTAAATTCAGCCACTGCCTCTAAAAGGGTAGTGCTGAGAATGACAGAGTAGCTGGGGGAAGCTTAATTCTTAGTTTCCTGAGCCCTGTGAATGGACAGTCTTGGCCTTGGCTTTGCAGATCCTGTCCTTCAAACGGGATATCATTCTTGCTCTGTAGAAGGCCCTAAGGGACCTATTGTAATGGAACAGGAGAGTGGCTGCTGTGCCTTTCTCTTTTTTCTGTTCATCTGACACAAGCTGAATAGGGGTGGGGTGGGGAAAGTTTGCTACATTACTGGCTATGGGTCCATAAAGACTTCCATGGTCTGAAGATTGGAAACACTGGGAGATTGCTTTTTCCCCAAGGCTTTTCTTGGCCTTGAGGGTTCCCCAGGAGTCCTTGTCTTCTGTTCTAAATGGCTGTTTCCTCTATGCCCCCTTCTGCAAATATTGGGCTGGGATGAGCTGTGCCTAAGGCAAGGGTACTTACCAACTGGGGTATCCTGGAGCCAGGTACTGTCCATGCAGCTCAGAGCTGGGTTCTCTTGAGTGATGGTACAGCACAGTGCAACCCTCCAGCAGACACTTGGTTTTGTTCAGAACTGGGTGACAGGCTGCAGGCCCATGATGCCAGCAGTGCAGAGAGAGTGGAGGTGGTTGCCCTCTGGGAGGGCAGGGTAGCCACATGCACATGAATACAAAGCTGCTGTTGGCAGTGAAAAATGGTGTGCTGCATGAATCTGCAAAGCCCTGGCAATTGGCAAGAGCCCTGGTTGGCCCTGCCGTCCTGCTGAGGTACCTTAGCTACAGTCTCACAAGCACAAGGTAATGCAGACATTCTCTCCCGGGGGACTTCTCTGCTGCATCCACATGGACGGCTGCCTTTGGAATTCACAAACAAAGTGGATTTTCCTTAAAGTAATGAAACAGATAACACATAACAGGATAACAGGATCTCATGGAGCTCAGAAGAGGGGCTGAAATCCTTGAGATAATTGGCTCCAGCCTAGTCTGACTTGAGAAAAACTGGATGGGGATGCTAGAGGAATTGGAGCTGCTTTAAAGGGTGTGCATGTCTGTATGGTAAACTCTTTAAACTGCTTCAATTATTACGTCTTTCCATACCCTGAAGCAAGCAGAGCTGTCAGCCCTTTAATAGGCCTGGCCTTCTGTCACAGTCAGTGGTCCTGATGATTTTTGTGGGCTTTTCCTGCACAGAAGAAGATTATCAGCTGGAGTAAAGGAAGCACTACTCACAACAGACTAATTAATGCAGGAGGCTGGCCTTGTAATGAGAGTGGGATTGCTGATATTTCTGTCATTGACAGCATCTGAGCCTGAGTCAAGCACTGATTAACGAAAAGCACATTCACAATCACTCTCCTGGTAGGAATAAAGCATCCAGTATCAGGTGTCTCTCATTCACCCTCCTGATGCAGAGTGCATTTGGCTCACCTCTGAGAGGCACTGAGGGTCCTCTGCTGTTGGTCAGTGGGTGGTGGTCAGCATTTCATGTGGGGAGCACAGTGTAAGCAGCCAAGTGTGCTACCTCCTGGGTACCTAGCAATAGTTATGCTGAACCTTTAAAACTCCTCCTAGTAGATTTAAGGACTCATTCTGATCATCTAGCTTGACCTCCGCATAGCACAAGCCAGAGAACATTGCCCAGGGAGTCCTCTTAGAAGAAGAGTTGATCTTTTAGAAAGAACCAACCAGTCTTGATTCAAAACCTCCAAGTGGTGGGGAATCACTCATGTCTTTGTTAAATGGTTCCACCAGATAATCACTTTCCTTGTTAAACATTTGCTTTTTGTTCCTACTCTGGAGTTCTTACTCCAGCTGCACTTTTCAGCCCCTGGATCTTATTCCACCTTTGTTAGCAAGATTAAAATGCCTCTACTATCAGAAATCTCTTCCTAATGGTGTTTGTAGGCAGTAATCAAATAACCTCTTAACTTTCTCTTGGATCAGCTAAGCAAACTGAGTTTAAGTCTCTCAGCAAGATTTCCAAATCTGTGCATTTTAAAAGTAGCTGTATCAGCTCTGGGTGCATCTGGGGGAGGAATCACCCGTGTTGGGGGAATTCCAGCTGTCTTCACCATCCACTTAAAAAGAGAGAGAGCTGCTGAATCCAGCTCCTAGGTGACTGCTGGCAGCCATGTCTGTGAGAGCTGCTGCCCTTGGGTCACTGGGTGTTTCAAGCAACTATTGTGCTGGAAACCTGCTAGGATTCTGCTTTGTGTGGCTGATCTCTGTGTCTGACACCCTGGTGCTGGTGATAAGAAATGCTGTGCTCCCCACTGCAACTCTGGGGATACTGCTGGCAGGCAGAAAGGTGGAATGAGGCTTGTGCTGCTCCTGTTTTGAGTCCCTCTGAGCCAGGCTGTTAGGCCAAGATCCTTGATATTAAGGCCAGAGGGGGTTTTCTGACCTAGTCAGGACTCTTGCCAGCTTTTATGAGATGACCCTCTTGGCTCCCTTGGCTTGCTGCTCCATTCTCAGACCCTTGCCCCAAGGGTGGTGTGATGAGGTGCGGCAGGGAAATCTTTTCCATTTGTCCTTCCTCTCAAGCAAGCTATGGGTCTCCTGTTTCTCTGAGGTGCAGGGCTGGATCCTTTCCCTGGTACCTCCCCATGTTGCTATCCAGCTGTCACAGCCTGTTCTGCCTACTCTGCTCTTCTTAGCACCCGCATGCAGGAGGGCAGTGGAAGGCTCCTGTTTGCTCCCTAGTATTGAACACTGTGTTGAGGCAGTGACTTGGTAGAAAGCACCCTTCCCTGAGTCACCCTCACCCCCCAAAGTCAGACCCCACCTAGTGAAGCTGCAAACATCCTGGCCCTGTTTGCCTTGAAGCACTACTTATAGCCTCCCAGATGGCCATGTGAAGTCCTTGTCAGCTGTGCCAGCAAGAGGCCATAAATAGAGCAGGCACCACAACAGCAGAGGCGTTCTTGAAAGAGGAGCCGGTTGGTTCTTGCTGTGGGTGGCATGCTGCTGCCGCCGCAGTGCCAGGTGGGTAAAGGTGACTCTGAGCACCTGGAAGGGGCCCTGCTGTCAGCCCCATGCCCCGGCTCCCAAAACACAGGGTTCACAGTTGCAGGTGCTGAGGGTTCGTTGCCCTGTGAATTCTGAGATTTTGACCCCTGGCTTAGGGTTTTCTGCATCTCCAGGGGCTAGTAAATCTCTTCCTTTTCAAATGTACCCTGTGATTCTCTTGCATTGAAACATAAGGGAGGTTGCAAGACTGGTTCCTACAAGGCCAGTAGACATGGAATAAAATCACAGAGGGTTTGTTAATTAGTAGGTGCGCTGGGGGTTTTGCCCCTGTGTGCAAGGACAAGGGGCAATACAGGAGTAACTCATTCCAAGGCCGTTACTGTGCCCCCCCCCCCCCCCAAATTCCCCCTTTTCCCTTTCCCCCTTCCC